TCATCATAGTCATCATCATCATCAGCATCAGCATCATCATCATCATCGTCGTCGTCAATATCGTTCCCATGGTCACCATCGTCAACATCATCATCACCACCACCACCGTCATCATCATCAGCATCACCATGATCATCGTAAGCCTCATCATCATCGTCATCATCAGCATCGTCGTCATCGGCATCGGCAGCATCACCATCATCCTCATCCTTGTTCTCATAAAACCACTACCATCATCGTCATGAGCAGCAGCATAAGTCTTGGCAGTATCATCATTATCGTCATCATACGTATCACCAGCATCATCAACAAATCCAACATCATCAACATGTCCATCATTATGATTAGCATCAACATCATCACGACAAACAACATCATCAACATCATCATCACAATCATGAACATCAACATCACCACCAGCATCACCGTCACCATCACCGTCGCCATCACCATCGCCACCATCACCAGCATTGTCAACGGCATCATCGGTATCGTCACCATCACAGCCACCATCATCAGCAGCATCGCCACCTACATCAAGGCGGGGACTAACAGCCTAAAGGATGAGAGCCCCACAAAACGCCAACGGGGCAGAGTCAACCCTCCGCGCCCCCGGGCCGTCGAGCGAGGAGGCTCCTCCGCAGGCTGAAGGGCCAATAGACCAGACGGCTGAAGACGACGGGTCGCTTTGGCACGGCCCAAGGCTCTTGTGCCTGGAACCGTCGATGCATACCCTACGCACTCCCCTGCCGATGCCTAGACATCGCCAGCTAGATGCCCAAGCATCACCAAATCGATGCCTAGGCATGGGCTGCGCCCGGCTAGGTCAAGCTACGCCCATGGACGCATCACTCGATGCATGAGTGGGCACACTAATGTAGGTGCCTAGGCATCCGAGGCATCGACACGGCCATGCCTGGTCATGCTGCGATGATGCGTGGGCACCTAAGGAAAACCTAGGTCATCTACCATCGCGCATCGCGCCCCGCAAATCGCGGTGATTTTCGCACCGCATCCAAGCGCCACCGCCCTGGAGAAACGCGCATCTCCGACCCAACCCGCGATGCGCGAAGCGCGATCATCCTCGAGCCTCTGGGGGTGACTTCGGTAGAAGAAGGGTCAAAGGATGATGATTTCCATAAGAAGATGATACAGAAAGAAACGGGTATTGAGAAACGCTCTGGCTTCAGGACGGCACTGTTCCGCAATAGCGAGCGGGGCTGCCTGCCGAGCGCGCCTGACACACTGTCGGAAGCGAGCGACGCACCGAACCGACAAAACAACAGTTCTACAACCTTCTGCCCCTTCAAAGAATGGCACACCGAATGGTAAGCGTCGGTATACAAAGCAAGAGAGAGAGAGGGAGAGAGAAACAAAAAGAGAGAGAGAGAGAGAGAGAGAGCTGCTGATGTGATCATAATTTGAGAAGAAGTCGAGAGTCGGGCGTTGGTAAGACTGGGTTCAGCAAGGCATGGTTTTATTAGATTTAACGATGGACGCCCCTCCGCCTCGTTCCACTAACCTGAACGGACGTCACCCGACAAACGCGAGCTACGGCAAACCCGGTTTAATGAACGCAACAGGCCCCGCCTCATGTCCGCTCAACGACACGTTCCCCTGGATCGGGGTCCAGGCCATACCCGACCGAGGCCGACAGAGAAGGAGGAAGAGGGGGAGGAGAAGGATGAGGAGGATAACGAGGATGGGCGGATGGGGGAGGTGAAGGAGAAGGAGGAGGAGGAAGAGGCACAGGAGCAAGCGGAGGAGGAGTAGGAAGAGCAGGAGGACGAGAGGGAGCAGGAGAAGGAGTACTTGGAACAGGAGGAGCAGCAGGAGAAGGAGGAGAAGGAGGAGAAGGAGCAGGAGGAGGAGGAGGAGAAGCAGGGGGAGGAGGCAGAGAAGGAGGAGGGGGGGGAGGAGGAGGAGGGAGGAGGACGAGGAGGAGGAGGAGGAGGAGGAGGAGGAGGAGGAGGAGGAGGAGGAGAAGGAGGAGGAGGAGGAGGAAGAGGAGGAGGAGGAGGATGACCAGGTGGAGGAGGAAGAGGAGGATGAGGTAGAGCAGGAGGAGGAGGAGGGGGAGGAGCGGGAGGAAGAGCAGGAACAGGAGAGAAAGAGAGAGAGGAGGAGCAGGTGGACGAAGAGGAACAGGAGGATGAGGGGGGAGCAGGAAGATGATGATGATGATGATGCTGATGATGCTGATGATGATGATGATCGGCGGGAGCCTCGCTCCGCGATTGAAAGTATTTTGCTGCGCGACGTCATCATCATCATCATGATCATCATGTCGCGCATGATGATGATGATGATGATGATGATGATGATGATGATGATGATGATGATGGCGATGATGATGATGCTGCTGATGATAATGATGATGATGCTAATGGCGTTGATGATGCCGCTGATGATGATGATGATGATGATGAGGAGGAGAGGAGGAGGAGGAGGAGGAGGAGGAGGAGAAGGAAACAAAGGAGGAGGATGAGCAGGAGGATGAGGTGGAGCAGGTTGAGGAGGACGAGGGAAGGAGGAGCAGGAGGAGAAGGACGAGGAATATCAGAAGGAGAAAAGGGAGGAGGATGAAGAGGAACAGGAAGGGGAAGAGGAGGAGGAGCAGGAGAAGGAAAAGGACGAGCAACATGAGGAGGAGGAGGAGGAGAAGAGGGAGGAAGAGAACGAGGAGGAGCGGGGGGAGGAGGGGGAAAAGGGGCAGGAGGAGGAGGAAGAGCAGGATGAGGAGGAGGAGGAGGAGGACAAGGAGGAGGAGGAGGAGGAAGAGGAGGACGAGGAGGGGGAGGAGGGGGAGCAGGAGCAGGAGGAAGGGAGGAGGATGAAGAGCAGGTTTCTGAGGGTGTTGATGATACCGCCCGTGTGACTCGACACTGGCGCGCTGGCCAAAACGCCGCGGACCAACGCCGCAGCGCGGTTGCCGAGCCCACGCCCGACGTCGAGCGGGGTCCAGCATGACGACGAGGAAGCCAGACCCCGAGCAAAACGCCCACGCCGCCAATGAGACTCGGGCCAGGATTCGAGGAAGAGCCCGCGAGGCGACGAGGAAACGCCCTGGAATTTCTCCGCAAGGAAGCCCAGACGCTCAGCGGCCTGCAGCAGCGCCGCCGTCTTGACCACCAAGGGTCTCGCCACTGCCAAGGAGACCTATCAGCTGCATGAGCATCTCATTGAACATCTCCTCGGTGAGGGTCGAGGGCGCTTCAGCCGTTGCCTGGGGCTTCTGCTTGGCCCTCGTCTTGCGGTGGGGTCCATCTCCAGCTCCTAAGGTACCCTGAAGGCTCTTCTTGTCCTTCGTGTCCTTCTTGAAAACGCCCTGCTTGTTGCGAATATCCACCACACAAGCCTTGAAGACCAGGTCCTGGAAACGGAGCCGTTTTCTCCTGCATGCGAAGGTTAGCATCGCCATCGAACTCGCCGTCCGACGCAGCATCGCTCAAACAGCGGTCCCCTATGACATACTGCTCGCCGCAGGCGTGGCCCGTCGCGGGAGAGGACGCGTCCAGCGGTTCCTTCGGCACAGAACGCTGGGCGAACGACGCCGCCCCGTCGTTGCAGCGTGTGCAATGCCCAATTCCTTCAACTTGCCCTGGTAGTACGTCGTGTCGGCGCACGTCCGATCCAGGTCCGACTGCTGATCCGTCACCGTCTCCTTCACCTTCTCCTCCATCTCTTGCTGCGTCTGCAGCAGCATCCTCTTGTCCTCCGCGAGCGGCAGCCTCTCCTCGCGGAGCATCCTGCTGCGCTCCCAGAGCGTGGTTTTGAGCTCCTTCACGGCTCGCTGCTCCACCACTATTTTCAGGGCCTTCTCCTCCTGCTGCTCTTCTTGTAGGGCCAAGGCCACCGCAGGGGACAGCGCGCTGCACTTCTGGCGTTCCGCCCTGAAGCCAAAGTTGGCGTGGCGGCAGCTTGCGCGCAGGCACCACCACTTGCGGACGTAGGTCTGGCCCTTCTCCTTTTGCTCCTCCACCTTGCTCGCGAAGCTCCCGAGCTCCTTCTGCGCGAAGTGCACATCCTTGTCCTCGTTCACCTCGTAGGCCTGCTCCCCCTTGCCATCCTGAAGGCACGCCGCGCGGCAAGCGGCTGCCTGACTCCACCGAGCTGCCAAAGGCCGGCGCCGGCCTTGCTGACCTCGGCGGTGTCCGGAGCCTTGTCGCCCGGCTCGCCAGGACGGCAGCCTTGAACTTGTCCATCTGCCATGCGCACTGCCGAGGGCGGCGGGGGCCGCTCCTGCATGCCCGAGTCCTTCATCCGAAGCGGCCCATAGCCCAAGTCCACCCTCGACAGGCCCATGAACATGTTGCGATTGAGCGCCCCGTAGCTCTGGTCCATGACCGCGTGGGTAGGACTGAGCGTTCTGTGGGAGCCAAACCCCAGGACTCGAAAAATTAGCCGTTGCCGAAAGCACAGCAAAACGGGAATCCGCAATAGAACAGCTCCACGGTCAACTCCGCCCCTGGCCTCGCACGCTGGATCTTCGGGTCCAGGTCCAGCAGGAGCGCATTGACCTCCTCGCCGAAGAGGTTCTGGGGCAGGAGGAATCTCATGCCATGGCGGCTCGGGCGCGCTGCACCCCCTTCACGCGCGCGCGCCCTACCTCGAAACTCTCGAGGGAAAGGGGCTAGGAGGAGGAGGAGGAGCAGGAGGCAGAGGAAGAGGGGAAGAGGAGGAGGAGGAGGCGGAGGAGAAGGAGGAGGGAAAGGAAGACCAGGAGGGGGAACAGGAGGAAGAGGAGAAGGAGGATGAGGAGGAGGATGCAGATGAGGAGGAAGAGGAGGAGGAGGAGGAGGAGAAGGAGGATGAGAAGGAGGACGGGGAGGCAGAGGTGGAGGAGGAGCAGGAGAAGGAGGAGGAAGAGGACGAGGAGGAGGAGGACGAGGAGAGGAGGAGGAGGAGGCGGAGCAGGAACACGAGGCGGAGAAGGAGGACGAGGAGGAGGAGGAGGAGGCAGAGGTTGAGGAGGAGGAACAACGGGGAGGGTCGATATTTTTCCGTAGGTGCGGCGGCGCCCAGTTCTTCGGCTCGTCGGGCGGCGGAGGCGGCGGCGCCGACTTAGCCTTGGTCGCCGCCGCGGGCGCGTCAGGCGAGGGCGGCGCTCCGCCCCTGCTGCTCTTGCTGACGCTGGACGGGGGGCCGCCGTCGGCGCCGGCCTGGGAGGGGGCGACGACGACGACGACGACGATCATGGCGGCGACGATGACGCCGACGATCAAACGACGACGACGACGATCACGACGCCGCCGACGCCGACGACGATCACGACGACGACGATCACGACGACGACGCTGATGTTGATGCTGATGCTGCTGATGCTGATGCTGATGCTGATGCTGATGAAGATGAAGATGAAGATGAAGATGAAGATGTAGATGAGGATAAGGATGAGTATGAGGATGAGGATGAGGATGAGGATGATGATGAAGATGAATATGATGATGATGATGATGATGATGATGATGATGATGATGATGATGATGATGATGATGATGATGATGATGATGATGATGATTGTGATGCTGACGTCGACGATGGAGCGGGTCCCGGGAACACCTGCACACTTGTGGTGATCCTGAACATGCGATGTTCTGCTCAACATGCCGCGCATCACACATCCACGGAACCAAGGCACCGCAGCCATGTAAGCCTCCTCCCTCCTCGACCTCCCTCCTCCGAGCTGATCTCCTTCATAATCCTCATCAACCCACCTCCTCCTGAATATTCCCCGTCCTTCTCCTCCCCCGCCTCCTCCTCCTCCTCCTCTTCCTCCTCTCCTCCTCCTCCTCCTCCTCCTCCTCCTCCTCCTCCTCCTCCTCCTCTCCTTCTGCATCCTCGGGGCGGACGTTGAGGGGGGGGGCCTATTCAGACCATGAACCTCAGCAATCCGCCGTGCAGAAACTGGCTGAGGTTCAGATCCTTGACATCGGGCCGAGTGGTTTGCCGTGCATCGTCAGGGCGATTCGAATATGAAGGTCAGCCCGCTGCTGCGATTCCAGAATGCCGCCCTCTGCAGGACCTCCCTGTGCATGGTGAGGTCCGAGACGTCCTCGCCCGCGAGAACGAGCTCGTGCGCGAAGGGGATGGCGCAGCACCTCCTGCCAGCCACCATGCCGCCGCTCGGTCTGGCAGCGGAACTGCAGGAGCTCCGCGCAGGTGGCCACCAACGAGCCCCAGCGGGCCCAGCTCACCAGCCAGGGCCCCTCGGCCAGCCAGGCGTCCGGGCGCACGGGCCGCGCCGCGCCGAAAGCGCGGACGAAGTGCTCGAGGTTCAGGGTTGTCCCTGCTGGTGCCAATCAGGCCCTCGGCTCCCTGCCCCTTGTGGTACACGAGCAGGCCCGTCACGACAACGAGGGCGCATCATCTGTCCACGCCGTCCAGGAACTCCTCCTGCCGCGCCACGTACCGATGGTCGGACATCGCCTCGTGGGCGATGCGCAGGAACAGCCGCTTGTCCGAGTGAACGATGCGGCCGAGCATGCAGCGCGTCTTGAGGTATGGCATGAAGTACGCTCGGTGCATGCGGATGAAAACCGACTCGGGCAACTGCTTCAGCATGGGCAATTCCTCGTCGGTCAACGTTCGAGTCTTCCTGCTGTAGTCCATATCGAAAAGCGTGAGCATCACGGTCCCTAGACTGGAATGGATGCGCTTGCTCTTGATGATCTGCAAGAGCCGGAAACGTTCCTGCGCCCGCGCGGTGTTGAGCGTCTTGAGCTCGTTCACCGTGGAGGGGATGCTGCTGAGGAAGACCGAGAAGGCGAGCATACGCCACAGGACAACCACGATGGCGAACACGCGCCCAATCGTGCTGACGGGCACGGTGCTGTTGGTGGCGGGGGTGAGCAGCATGATGCTCCAGAGGAACGCCATCGTGTAGCTAAGCAAAAGGTAAAGTAGTGGTTGCAGTAGCCGTCCACAAAGTGTGACTTGCTGCATGACGAATACCGTGTTCTTCGTGTGCCTGGCGACGAGGTTAGCTAGAACAAGTAGTTGAAGCCAGCCTCAGCGGTTGCACTGTAGATGGCCCCGATGGTACGCCTTGAAGGCCTCGGGCTTGGGGAGGTGGTCCTGGATGAGCCAGCCCTCGCCCTCGACGAGATGCTGCAGCGAAGTGTCGACCTCGAAGTCGGCGTAGGCCAGCTGGCCCTCGTACCTCTGCGAGTGCTCGGTGTAGAGCTGGGAGGCAGTGTCGCCGCACGCCTCGTCGGCACGCTTGTTGAGAAGTCGCACTTCGGCGTCGGTGTGCTGCGTGGCTGGGGCCCACTGTGGGTTCTTGTCGTGGCTGGGGACCCAGTGCGCCGAGCAGCCCGCAGGTAGAGTACGAGCGGCCTGGTGTAGGTCAGCCCAGTCAGCCAAGGCGAAGTCTGAAAGTGGTGGTTCTCCTCGCAGTAGGGCTTGGAGGCCTCGTAGCACCACTGTCTTGTTGTCGACGTAGACGACGAACTGGATGCCCTGGCGAGCTGCAGCCTCCACGAGGATGGCGATGACAGCACGCTCAGCCATCGTGGACGAGGGGTCCAGTGAGATGACTGGCCCCGAGAAGGTGGAAATGGGCTCCGCGGCGATGGCGATCGCCCATGCTCCTCGGCTGAGTGGGGACCAGCCTGTGCGCTGTGGTCCCTTGACTGACCCATCGGTCGCCACGAGGAGGGGCCCCTCGGTGGTCTGGGAGCACCTGACCAAGGCAGCCCGTACAGCACGAACCTGTTGCTCTCGCTCGGCAGCTGGTTGGCGCAGAGGAAGTGGCGTGGCAACCAGGGACGCTGGTAGCAGTTTCTCGAGCTCTGTGGCTGGTTGAGACCTCCCTGCGAAACAGAGGCAGCCCCAGGCCCAGTGCTCTCGGGTAGCAAGAGCGCCACAGCGACAGATGCCCCCCCGCGGGAGGTCGAAGCCAAAGCGCCCGGCGATGCTCTCGATGATGTGGTGGTCGTACGAGCACCCCATGGCGGCACGTTGTTGTGCGTGGGTGCCCAGTCCCATGAACAATTCTGCTCGTCGTGTGCGAACTTCCCCACACAGCAGTCTGGACTGCGTGGTGGGGTCTCGTGCTCTGGGTTCAGCACGCCAGACCTGGTGAAGGTGAGCCCTCCAGGCGATGTGCAGAAGTGTGCTCTTCCCCACCCTCGTGAGGTCGAGGTCGCCATCTCGTGTGGTGCAGGTCGAGGCAAGTGCCTCCAGGACGGTGGTGCTGGTCGTCGCGTGGTGGTAGGATGTTTGGCATTCCAGCCCCATTTCCCCAGAACCTCCTCCCAGCGAGGGTGCAGGTCGTGTGCCTGCGGTTGGCCACGGTGGCGTCGCCGAAGTCGCCACAGCTCGTGCATCAGCGAGTCGAAGTCGAGCTGGAACTCCACCGAGGACTGTGGTCCAGCCACTGCAATAGCTAGGGCTCTGGAGGAGCGTTCGGGCCTCGCCATAATCGCGTCCAGCAGGAGGGTATCCCACTTACGATGCACGTGCTTCGGGGGTCGTTGCCACCGCCCACCCCACCTGAGTTTGGAGAGCACCAGGCATTGGGCGAAGCGCCTCCTCCTCTGCCAGCCCTTGGTGTGGTACCGCCAGTCGTAGTCGTGAGAGTTGGTAGAGCGCTCTGCCGCTGCTCATCTGGCGAACCATGGTAGGTGGGTGGCCCACGTCGTAGTAAGAGCCTCGCCCCCAAGATTTCCACAAAGTGCTTCTGTTTGCCAACTCGATCGCAGATCGTGGCAGCTGGGGTCTTGTGAGGGTCAGGTGAGGTCTGGTCGTCGTCTGGTGGCTGGTGCTCTGCCTCACCGTCGTGGTGGTCGTGGTCGGGGTCTGCCTCGTGGTCGAGGTGGTCGTAGTCGAGCTGGTGGTCTGCCTTGTGGTCGAGGTGGCGTGGACGAGGTCGTGGTGGTGCTGGTGGTCGTGCTGGTTGCCCGACCTTACCCCTGGCAAAGGTCGCTCCTTTGCCTTCGTTCCACTGCCACCCTGCCCGATCATCGTAGTGCCAGGAAGCCAGGAGGGCCTCGTGGCACCTCTGCCAGGCCAGTGGTCCCCTCGCCCATATGGTACGATCGTCGGCGCATGCCCGAACACGAACTTCAGGGGCCACCGAGCCGACGTACTTGATCCACACATTCATGTCAGACAAGAGGAGGATCACGCTCGCTGGGCAGCCTTGCAGGAGTCCTCTCTGAGAAAGGATGGGTCAATGAGCCACAGCGCCCTCGAGTTCCAAGAATATCTGCCTCTGGGAGTAAAAACTCTGCAGAGCATGGAGCAGGCCAGCTGGCGCGCCTTGGTGCCGAAGTTGGCGTAGAGCACGTGCCGCGCTGCAGCGATCGAAGGCCTTGGAGAGGTCGATCTTAGTCCCGAGGATGGAGGGGCCAGCGTCTTTGGCGTCCTCAATCTGCGTGGCCAGTGCTTCCACGAGTTCTGCTGGGTCTCTGCCTGGCCCTGGTGCAATTCGTGGATCGAGCCACCAGCGAATCCAAGCCCTGAGCTGTCGCCCCCAACCTCCATGCGATACTCGCTACCCCAATCGGTCGGAAGCCACCTGAGCCATCGTGATTCGGAATCGGCGCAACTCGAACTTGTGCCCAAACAGCTGGCACCTTGGCTCCTCTCAATATCTGGTTCCAGATCCTCGCAAGGAGGGCGTACCAAGGGGTTGGCAGTCGTGCTAGATGCCTGGGCAGCCACCCGTCAGCACCACCAGCTTTAGCTGCAAGTTGCTTGGCACGCTTACGGAGCTGTTCACCTGTCACGTCGACGAGGAGCTGTGTCGGCAGCCCCTGTGCCGAGTTGGCATCGGGCAGCAAGTGGATGAACTCAAATGCCGATTCTGGAGACGCCGGTGAGGCACACCAGATGCCCTCCCAGACCTCTCGCTCGTGCTCAACTCTTTGTTGTGGGTGTAGTGGACCACGGACTTCCTGTACTGGTACGTCTGGTCGCTGTCGCTTGAGCCATGCCAGGGTCTTGCTGTCGTTGGTGGTCATGTCCTCGTTCCAGCTGCTTGAGCCTGGCCAGCTTGTCGTTCAGCTCTCTGTTGTGGATGACCTCCTCGAATATGCCCTTGCCGAAGTCGGTGTGGAGGTCGACCTCGCCGATCTCTGAGTATCACTTAGCCAGCAGCCCTTGGCGTCGACGAAGTGAGCGCTCGGCCTCGGGATCGCCTGGTCTGAGAGCGACTTGTCGGACGACTCTGTGCAGCTTGTACAGCTGGGCCAGGGTGTTGATCTCGTCGTTGACCTGCTTGGTGGAGGAGCCATTTAAGTGGACCACCTTGGCCGAAGCTGACCTGGGTTGACCCTTGGCCACTTCGTGGGTGAGTAGGCTCTCGGTGTGGTCGGAGAGGAGCTGTCACATGGTGTTGGCTTCCTGGTGTGACTCTGCTGTGTCGAACAAGTGTGCGAACAGGTTGTAGACCTCCTCCCAGGTGTCCTCGGTGATGTCCTCGTCGCCGATGAGCGGTGCCCTGCTCTTGTAGGTGTACTGCTCCTCCTGGGAGTAGCAGGCGAGGTCGTAGTACGCCAAGTCGTGGTCTGCCACTCCTTCGGCTCGCCCAAGATGTGTGACAGTGAGGTCGCGATGAATGAGTGCATAGTCGAGGTGTCGGTCCTTCTCGTGGGTGGCCATGTCGATCTCGGCGGGCGTCTCAGGAAGATGAAGACGACAATTGAAAAGAACCTCGGCCAGACAGCCCTCAGTGGGCACCATGTTCCAATCCCCGATGCAGCACAGGCGCCAACGTAGAACATCGGCGTGCTGACAGACATGATGCAACATGGCCTTGGTGCCAGCCATGGGGGTGTAGCCATGCAGGTTGGCGAGGACGACGGGCTCTGCTCGTGGAAGATGCAGTGCAGTCATGACCACCCTGTCGTTGCCAGCGAACTCTGGGACCTCCAGCTGCACAATGGGCTGCTTGGAGAAGATGATGGGGTCTATGAGGAACCTGCCATCGTTGAGGCCAGGTGGGCCTGCTGCCGTGTACTTGTAGCCACGCCGTCGAGCATACTTGATCATGGCAGGCAGGCTGGTGAGTGAGAGTCGAGCCTCTTGGATACAGAGAATGTCGACGTCGTAGATCTTCGCAAGGGTGAACACCTTCACTGCCTTGATGGAGAGGCCCTGGACGTTGAGAGTGGCAAGTTGGAGCAGCGAGTGCTCAGCTAAAAAACTCAGTGGGAGCAGCCTGATCGCCTGTACTGACCAATTGTTTGGTGAAGGCTCGGGTCGAAACAGTGATTTGTTTACGCAGCTCTGCAGTGTTAGAAGTTGAGGGTAGCCGAGCCTGTACTGTCGGTACCTCAGCAAACTGGCTGGTGTTGGTGGGGGCCTTAAAAACGGCGCCCCTCAGTCGCCGACGTGGGCGCCCTCCTTGTGCCTGACCCCGCCGACGCGGCTGCTGCCGAAGATGGCGAAGTAGTGGATGCCGAACTCGCTGAAGATGAGGTTGCTGTGACCTTGGCCTTGTCGAGGTAGCCGAGAGCTACCCGAAGAGCCTTGCTGCGAGCCACCTTCCTGACCTTGGTCGCCTCTGGATGGTGGTCGCGGTGAACGCCCAAGGGCACGAAGTCGATAGGTGTTCGTGGGCTTCATTTCCAGCATGCCACAATTCGTGCAGACGAATCGCGATTTGCCTTTGCTCCGTCCGAGTGGCCATCGGAACTTGCGCCAGTTGTGGTTGCCTCCTCCTTGAACTGAGGTAGCACGTCGCTCCAGGGCCTCGCGACCAGCCCGACGAGCCTGGTGACAAAAGTCGAGATAGTCCTGGATCTCCTGCTTGTGGGCGGGGTCGCCTTCCTCGGTGAGGGCCTTCGGAGCCTGCCTGATGGTGACCTCCAGCTTGCCCGCTGGTCTGGCGATGGCCTGGCAGACCCCCGGCCTGTTGACTGAGCCAGCCTGGCGCCAACGCCGACGACAGCGTACATGGGTTCTGTCGCGACGAGGGCCATAAGGCATGCGAAAGTACTCGAGCTTGTGGCCGGTGATCTTGGCCTTGAGCAGTCCTCGGGAGCGCCTGGCTTGGGCCTGCATGGCCTGCGCCTGGTGGACTGTGCTCCCCTTCTTGAGGTAGAACTGCTTCACGTGTGCCTTGGAATGGTGTTGAAGACGATGCGTGAAGGGTGCTTCTCGCGCTGTCTGCGTAGTGGGTGTCGCGACGAGGCCCATGGGGCAGAGTGGGCACGTCCACGTGAGCTCCTTGCCAGGGAAGGCCCCGACCAGGGTGGGCATGACGATCCTCAAGTCCTTGGCCTGCTTCTCGTGGTAGAAGGCAATGTGGGCGTTCTTCTTGCTATAGAGGTACTTGCCCCAGATGGTGAAGCCCTTGCAGGAGGCAGTGGGGCACGTCCAAGTGGTCGTGGTCGGTCTCTTGCTCCCCGAGGCCTCAGCTGCAAGGGCAGCCTTGGGTGGTGGAGTGCTGGAGCCCTCGAAGTCGTCAAGGTCGTCGATGTTGGCCACGTCGCCGATTGTGGAAGCCTTGTCCTGCTCTGCCAGTGCCTGTTGGCGCCATAAGCGGCAGATGGTGGGCGTGGATGCCTTCGAGGAAGCTGCCGAGGCGCCACCTCGCATACCGTTGTGTCCCCCGGCTTGGGCAGTGGAGGCGTCGTCGTCTGGTGGTTTGGTCGTGATGAGCTCGTAGTGCCCAGCCTCGAACCAAAGCCTGATGGGTGCTGTCCCCTTCTTCGAGACCTGCCAAATCTGGGGTGGGCCCTATCGTTGGCACAACGTCAGTGGGATCTTATAGTGCGCCACGGACACTGCCAGCTCGAGGTTGCCGAGCCAGGCCCCGAGCTTGGACATGGCCATGCAGTAGGCAGAGAAGCCCCCTGGTAGTGGTCGCTTTTCTCGCTCTGGTGCCTTGCCGTCCCAGAAGGGAGACCAGTGCTGCTGCCCTCGGCCCTGCATCGCCTTGGCGATGTTGTACCTGACAGTCTCGTGGTCGGTGGGTGTGGACTGTCGTGCATTCAGCCCCTGTGCCAGCGCCAGAGGGAGGCAGTTGCCCGCTCCCGCATTCTCCTTGGTCTGGATCCAAGCCGGTCGTGGAGCCAAGGCAGGTCGCTTGGCCTTGGGACTACCTGCTCCTGCAGGCCTCGCTCCTGACTTGCCCTTGTCCTTCTCCTTGTCCTTCTCCTGGTCATTGCCCCCCATCTTCTGGTCCTCATCCATCTCCTCCTCCTTGGCAACTTCGCCCTCCTCCTCCTCCTCCCTCGGGGGGGCCTCAGGAGCAGCAGCAGGAATGGTGTTGTTCTTGGACTTGCGGGCGCAGCCCCCCCCCCCCCCCCTCGCCAGGGAGGAGCGTCTTCTCTGGAGTGGGCTTCGTCAGTTTGTCGACGAAGCCAAACATGCTGACTGACTCGCCATCGACCTCAAAGAAGGCGAGGCCCCCTGGGGCCTTGGCACGAATCACCCAGGTACGCCTCGCCAGGGAAGAGCCTGGGACCTTGGGGCGGTGCCTGTCGGCGATGAACTCCACGTCCTTGAGGCCGTTCTCCCTGGCAGTGTTGTGGACGTCGGTGTAGCTGTGGCCAGCTGGTACATGCTCTAGCTTCCAAGCGCGAACCCTGCCGTCGGTGGCGAGCCAGGGTTGGCGAAGCCCCAGACTGCGATCGCCCCGAGCAACTCCAAGAGGCCCACAGCGCTGGTACAGCCTGTCGGCGAACTGGGACCAGGACTCGGTGTCCATCTTCTTGTTGGAGTAGTCGCAGCCACATGGAGGTGGGCAGGGCGCCTGCCACCTCGCCGGCCCCACGAAGAAGCGAAGCCCAGAGGGACCTCGGTGCCCTGAGCGCGCGAGCAGCTCAGTGAGTGCAGGGACCTCCATGCGCCAGAGGCCCATGATGATGTCGTCCTGGGCGTGGAACTTGAACGCGTCCCTGAGCTTCTCCTGAATGCCGTCGGAGCCAACCTCGCGAGCCCAGGCCCTGGCCGAGTCGCCAGGCCTCTTGAAGATGTTGTCCCACGACTCGGTGTGCTTTTTCTCGGTGGACACTCGCACGATGACTGCGTCGGGTGTGGTGGCCTTGACTGCGGTGTCTTGACCTGAGCCTTGTCGTGCGGGGCGTCGGGGCTGCTGCGCCAGATGCCCACCTGCTTGGCCTTGGTCTGCTGCTTGCCACGCAGCCTTCCAGGAAGGTCTCGGCGCTCCTCCTCTGATCGTAGGTCTTCTCGTCGCCTGAGCGGTCGAACTCGAAGTACTCGAACGAAGTCGTACATGTCGAGGAGCACCTTCAGGCCCTCGAGGTCGCCGTCGTCGTGGGCCTGGACCACCGCCTTGAGGAGCTTGTCACCGTCGGCGTTGAAACTGGTGGCCCTTGCCCGAAGGCCCCCCACAGTGTAGATGGGCCCATCGAAGTCTTCTGGACGAGCAGCCCACAACTCGATCCAAGGAGTGGTGGTGGGCGTCGTGGTATTCGGACTCTGTGCGGTGTCGGGCTGCTGCTTAGGGGGCGCGCATTCCTTTGGAGCTGGTGCAGCCTTCGCCTTCGCCTTGGCCTTAGGCGCAGCCTTGGCCTTGCCCTTGGCCTTCGCCTTGGTGGACGTCGGTTTGGTGTCGTTGCCTTTGTGGCTGAGCAACTTGGCCAGCATGCCCAGCAGGTTAGTGTTGCCACCGTCTGAGAGGAGCTTGATGACCATATTCACAAGCTGCTCGAGGAGCCCAGACAGGTCGCCCTTGAGATCGTTTGCCTTGGCCTTGTTCCTGCGATTTTTTTCGGGGGGGGGGGGGGGGGCATCTCCAGCAATGCGAGATTTGCAACCCCGAAGTTTGCGTGCCAGCACTCGTTGGGAGTAACCCCATGCAGCCACAGTACCGTCGCCTGCGTGCCCATGCGCCGCACCCCCAGCACCCCATGCTTCACCGACTGTTCCCTCTCCCCTGCCAGCTGCCGAAAGTGAAGGCGGTCACCTTGTGGATGGTCAGCTCGTTCTGGTTAAAGTGCAGCGCGCAGGCCACGAAGCAGCTCACGCGGGGAAACGCCGAAAGCCTCGCCGACCAGGTCGACGAAGAAGAACAGCTTGCCCAGGTAGATCAGCTCGTCCTGGTGGGGCTGCTGGTCCAAGTAGCACAGCTGGTCCCCGAAGAGCAGCTGGCCCACGTATGAGGCCTGGTCCCCGAAGAGCAGCTGATCGCCGAAGCGCAGCTGGTCCCCGAAGAGCTCGTGGCTGGCGAGGGCGACGAGGTCTCTGTCGTGCACGAGCCTCTGGTTGTAGTCGTAGACGGTGCCCTGCTGTGTCGTGGTCAGTGCCACGAGGAGGTCTGTCATTCGCTCCCTGTGTGTCGCCTCACCTGCACTTCCCTCTGGTGATGTGTATTCAGTCATCGCCCCGCCGAACCTCGTGGAGGCCCGCATCATAGCTGCTGTCAGACTCGTCACCTCAGCAGCGGCACCAGACACGCCAGCACCGCCAGGAAGGCAGCCCGAGGCAGCAGCCATGGATCGGCCCAGCCGGGTTCCCCTCCCAGCTGTGCGAGCCAAAACGGCTCTCGTGTAGCTAAGCATCCGATCGCCTTTGACATCAACCTGGTCAGCCAACTGTCCCTCGGTCCTGGCCCGCGTTCGGAGCTGCTGGCGGCTTCTGTGCCCACTCCGTGCCGTGTGCAGGCGATGGTAGTGGCACATCCACACGATGAGCAACATCAGCTGCCCGATCTTGATGACCAAATCGACGAAGTTCGACGTGTTCGCGCGCATGAAGGACACGAACACCAGAAGTCACTCGTGGAGGCGGACCAGGCGCACAAGCCGGAGCAACCACAGCAGCACGACCGTCGGGGCGCTCGGGTTGAGGTCCTTCAGCAAGAAAGAAGGTGGACGCGACGTCGAGAATGCGCACGCCGACGTCGAGGGGCATCCACGTCTGGGCATAGCGCGCCACGGTCTTGCGAATCTGCATCTCCGCGCCGTAGTCCGTGGCCTACCCGGATGTGGCGTGGAAGAGAACGTCGAGGGTGCCCCGTGATCATGCCGGCGGCCTCGTGCGGGATGGTCGCGCTGTCGTACAGGAGCAGGAGCGCGCCGAGAAAGGTCCAGAATAAGGGCGCTGTCTGGGTGCACCTCGAGCCTCCTCTGAAGGCGGAGCCTGGCCCCTGGCCTCCTGGCCGGCGGGATGGTTGGTGGCGTACTCATTATCGGCGTCCGCCTTGTCGACCAGGGACATCGCGAAGCTGCTGTCGTGCTTCACTTTCCAGCGCCTGCAGCGAGGGGACGCTGCAGAGCCACTCGCTGTGAGCCACCTGCGCCTCCTCCGCCGCTTCGTCGCCGAAGTTGCTCTCCCGCGTGAGCACCTTGACCGTCAGGTCGGCCATGCTCGTCTCCCCGTTGTGCGAAGCCTGGGTCAGCTTGACGACCAGCCTCGCCCATCTCGCCTGCCAGTTCGGCAGCGGGCCACCATCGCTGATGTTCAGCGGGCTGGCCATCTGGTTGGAGCCCAGCGACGTCCGCCGCTGCACGCAGCTGTTGTCCACGTGGTGGACAGCCAGCGCGTCGGTCGCCGGGTCCTCCCTTGCCTCGGGCCACAAGTCCTCGTCGTCGGTCAGGGAATGCTCGTACTCTGCGGTCTTGCCGAGATCGGAGCCGTTGAGGGCCTCCCGCCCTGGCGAGGCCGGCGCCGGCCGGCCCTGCGGCTCGGCCAGTTCCTCGGCATCGAAGCTCCCCACGCGGGCGCCACGCGCGGAGCCGCCGGCGCGCCCGGCTGGCGCGGGCCCGCCGGCCGTTGTCGCGCAGCGAAGCGCTGCGGAAGGCCGCGATCATCTCGCCCACCGGGCTCCGTGGGGCCTTCTCTGGGGTCTCCTGGGGTCTCCTGGGGCCACCCGGGGCCTCCTGGGGTCTCCTGGGGCCTCCTGGAACCCCTCTGGTGCCTCCTGGTGTGTCCTGGGGTCTCCTGGCGCCCCCCTGCAGCTTTCGCCCTGCGAGGGTGCGCGCCCCTCCGCGGGCGGGGCCCGGCCGCGGCGGCGATCGCCGCGCCGCGGGGCGGCCCCCACGCGCAGAGCGAGCGCGCGCAAGGGGGGGAGAACCCTGCAACCCGGCGGCGCGCTGGGCGCCCCCCCCAAAGGGGTTTGGCCTCATCCTCCTCCTCCTCCTCCTCCTCCTCCTCCTCCTCCTCCTCCTCCTCCTTCCTCCTCTCCTCCTCCTCCTCCTCCCTCCTCTCCTCTCTCCTCCTCCTCCTCCTCTTCCTCCTCCTCCTCCTCCTCCTCCTCCTTTCCTTCCTCCTTATCCTCCTCCTCCGCCTCCTCCTCCTATTCCTTCTCCCCCTCGTGCCCTTTTCCTCCACCTCCCTATCCAGCTCCTTCTCCTCCTCTCCTCATCATTTTCCTCTTCGTCGTCCTCCTTCTCCTCCTGCACCTTCCTCCTCCTCCTCCTTCTCCTCATCCTCCTCCCCCTCCTCCTCCTCCCCCTCCTCCTCGGAGGTGTCGCATTCGAGAACGGACGGAGGACGACGAGGGCGAGGAACGGGGGAAAGGGGAGGAGGGGAGTGTGGGCGCGCCGATGTTTCCGTTGCCTCGCTGGGCCTTCCCAGGGAAGCTCATCGAAACGGCTGGAGCCGCCTCGAGATCCTGGCCAAAAGAGGCCACAGGATATAGGTCCGACGACGTGGATTCTTTGAGGAGGGCGGAGAAGACGGCGGGGAAGCGGAAAAAGGGGCGGAACAAGGAGGTGGACGGAGAGGAGGGGAGAGAGGCGATGGAGGGAGGGTGGAGGATTCGCATCGTAAGGGTGCGGATGAGGATGATGGAGAGACGGATGAGGGCACGTATTGTGTGACGTACTGGAAAGGCTTCAGCAAGCAGGATCGCGAAAAGGCCTGAATCACCAAGGATGTCGAGAGCTAGGAGGAGTGAAAGGTGAGGGGCTGATGCAGAGAGATCATGGGTAGCGGGATGATGTTGGTGACGATGGTAACAATACCGATGACGATGATGAAAATGATGACGATGCGGATGATGATGACGATATTGAGGTCGATGCTGATTCGGATGATGCTGGTAATGATGACGATACTGATAGCTGTGATACTGATGATAATGCTGATACTGATGATGCTGATGATGCTGCTGATGGTGGTGGTGATGCTGGTGCTGATGAGGACGATGTTGATGCTGATGGTAATGGCGATGTCGATGACGATCAGGGTCACGTTGATGACGATGATGAAGATGATGATGGTGAGGTTGATGATGCTGCTGATGATGATGGTGACGATGATGACGAAGAGGATGATGATGATGATAATGATGAGGATGATGACGATGATGGTGATGATGGTCACTGCATAAGGGAAACATAATCCCGAGCAGAACAAGCACCACGACCACGACGACGCCGACGACGACGACGGAGACGAGGCGCGCTTACGATCCGCACCGAAGCACGGATTTGGGAAAGGGCCCACCCTGCAGGTTCGGTTAAACAGCACATCGTTGAGCGGTGCTGCAGCCTCCCCTGAGCTCAGGCCCCCCCAGAGCATCAGCCAGACAAGTCGGGTTTGCACCCTCATGCCTTGCTGGACTCTGGGCGCGTTTCGGCACCCTCTCCCCCAACCTCGTCAGGGCCACCGACAAGGGAGAGGGCGGCGGTGGCCGACGGGTCCCCGAGCTAAGAAGCTCAAAGCGCCCCGGCTCAGAGAGCCGGGAAGACAGACAGACAGATGGTGATGATGGTGATGATGATGATGATGATGGTGAGCAGGAACGGGATGTTGATGATGAGGATGAAACTGATGATGAGGCAGAGAAGCAAAGCGAAGATCAGGATGGCCTGCGAGGCGCTTTTGCCGGGCAGCCCCGGGGGCGGCGGCAGCATCGCGGAGGACGCCTCGGGGCAGTAGCTACCGAATCGAAGCGATTTCTCTCTCTCCTGCCTTTCTCCTGTTTCTCCTACCTCTCAGACTGCCCCTCCTCCCCCTTCGTGTCCTCCCCCTCTTCCCCTCCCTTTTCCCCCTGCCTCCCTCCCCCGCCCACGCCGTGTCTCTCCCTGGAGCTCCCCCCGTTTTCCCCGTCTCGTCCTCCTCCCTCCCGCGCCCACTCCCCAGCCCAAACCCCTCATCCTGCCGCCGTCCCCGTCGCCCTCTCCACGCTGCTTCGCTCCGCACGCCCACCTCCTCCTCCCTTGTCCTCCGCCCCCCGCGGCCCCGTTCCCACCCTCGCTCCCCTATTCCTCGCCCTCGCCCCCTCGCACTCGGACCCCCTGTCCTCTTCGCTCTCCCCTCCACTCTGCTTTCCCCCCCGTCCCACTCCCCCCCTTCGTCTCGCAACTCCCCCTCCCCAGCCTTCCCTTCTCCGCCCGCACTTCCGCCGCCCCTCCAAAAAAAATTGAACACCCTCCGGTGTCACTCCCTCTTCGCTGCTCATGGCCAGGGTTTTTGTTGCACCACCAAGCGTGGCGTTTCGGCGGCCGACGCGTGTCGCCTGAGACTTTGCCCACCCACGAGGTTTGTCTAAGCACCCAGGTGGAGGGCGACAGGGCGTGCCCAACAAAAAGGCGACCGAAAGAGAACCAGAACGGAGGAAGTAGAAAGCGGGAGGCAACCGTCAGGCGGAGGAGGCGGGAGCGCGGCCGTGGCGGCCCACCTGACACCCCTCTCCTCCCCCCAAACCAAGATCAGTCAGCATCGAATCGGGAACATCGGATCGACTCGGAATACGTGTCGAATCGGGCCGCATCGACACGGAGTCCCAATCGAATCGGACCGGCTGCGCCGCGCCCAGATGCACAGCAGCGCCGGGCAAGCATCGGGCTGCATCGGATCGCTGGAGCGCCGATAGGGGAACAAACAAGGACATAAGCAATAACAAAACAACTCCGAGGTCCGCGCGCAGATTTCTCGGATTGGCGCTGACCCCCCTTCCCATCTGCGCGGAGCGCACCAGCGCCGATCCGAGAACTCTGTGAGGACCTCTGGGTTTTTACATTTACGTTTTGGTCTGGCATTTCCTCCTGCAGGCGGACTTTGGACGAAGAAATCCGCCGACCCCAGAGGCGTGTGAGGAAAAGTTCTGGCTCCCCACCATGCCCCTACCACGCTCCGGCATCCCCACCCCATGGAGCCTCTGTTCTTGGGACCCCCCACCACGCCCCCCACCACGCCCCGGCACCCCCACCCCATGGAGCTCTGTTTTTGGGACCCCCCACCCCACCATCTCTCGCCCAAAACCGACCGACACCCCCCACCACGCTCCCCACCACGCCCCGGCACTCCCACCCCCTGGAGCCTCTGTTTTTGAGACCTTCCACCCCACCCTTTCTCGCCCAAAACCGACCGACACCCCCCACCACGCCCCCCACCACGCCCCGGCACTCCCCCCCCATGGAGCCTCTGTTTTTGGGACCGCCCACCCCATCATTTCTCATCCCAAACCGACCGACACCCCCCACCACGCTCCCCACCACGCCCCGGCACTCCCACCCCATGGAGCCTCTGTTTTTGGGACCCCCCACCCCACCATTTCTCATTCCAAACCGACCGACACCCCCCACCACGCCCCCCACCACGCCCCGGCACTCCCACCCCATGGAGCCTCTGTTCTTGGGACCCCCCACCCCAACCTACGATTTCTCGCCCAAAACCTACCGATGCCCCCCTCCTGGCCCCGGCATCCCCACGCCATGGAGCCTCTGTTCTTGGGACCCCTCACCTTACGATTTCTCGCCCAAAACCTACCGATACCCCCCTCCTGGCCCCGGCATCCCCACCACATGGAGCCTCTGTTCTTGGGACCTCCCCCCCTACGATTTCTCGCCCTAAACCTACCGATGCCCCCCTCCTGGCCCCGGCACCCCCACCCCATGGAGCCTCTGTTCTTGGGACCCCACACCCAACGATTTCTCGCCCAAAACCTACCGATACCCCCCTCCTGGCCCCGGCATCCCCACCCCATGGAGCCTCTGTTCTTGGGACCCCCCACCCTACGATTTCTCGCCCAAAACCTACCAGGCATCTGGGCTCTGTTCTTGAGATCCCCGACACCACGATTTCTCGCCCGAAACCGACCCATACCCCCCACCTCCCCACCCCCTGGCCGCCACCTGGCCCCCACCTGGCCCCGACACCCCCAGGCCTCTGGGCTCTGTTCTTGAGACACCCGACCCCACGATTTCTCGCCCGAAATCGACCCATACCCCCCACCCCCCCACTCCCTGGCCGCCACCTCGCCCCCACTTGGCACCGACACCCCCAGGCCTCTGGGCTCTGTTCTTGAGACACCGACCCCGCGATTTCGCGCCCGAAATCGAACCATACCCCCCACCCCCCCCCCCCACCCCCTGGCCGCCACCTCGCCCCCACCTGCCCCGCATCCCCAGGCCATGGAGCCTCTGTTCTTGGGACCCCTCACCTTGCGATTTCTCGCCCAAAACCTACCGATACCCCCCTCCTGGCCCCGGCATCCCCACCCCATGGAGCCTCTGTTCTTGGGACCTACCCCCCTACGATTTCTCGCCCAAAACATACCGATACCCCCCTCCTGGCCCCGGCACCCCCACCCCATGGAGCCTCTGTTCTTGGGGCCCCACACCCAACGATTTCTCACCCAAAACCTACCGATACCCCCCTCCTGGCCCCGGCATCCCCACCCCATGGAGCCTCTGTTCTTGGGACCCCCCCACCCTCCGATTTCTCGCCCAAAACCTACCAGGCATCTGGGCTCTGTTCTTGAGATCCCCGACACCACGATTTCTCGCCCGAAATCGACCCATACCCCCCACCCCCCCACCCCCTGGCCGCCACCTGGCCCCCACCTGGCCCCGACACCCCCAGGCCTCTGGGCTCTGTTCTTGAGACACCCGACCCCGCGATTTCTCGCCCGAAATCGACCCATACCCCCCGCCCCCCCACTCCCTGGCCGCCACCTGGCCCCCACTTGGCACCGACACCCCCAGGCCTCTGGGCTCTGTTCTTGAGACACCGACCCCGCGATTTCGCGCCCGAAATCGAACCATACCCCCCACCCCCCCCCCCCTGGCCGCCACCTCCCTCGGCCCCACCTGGCCCCCGACACCCCCCAGGCCTCTGGGACTCTGTTCTTGAGACCACCGACACGGCGATTTCTCGCACGAAATCGAACCCACCCCCCCCACCCCCCCCACCCCCTTGCCGCCACCTCGGCCCCCACCTTGCCCCGACACCCCCAGGCCTCTGGGCTCTGTTCTTGAGACCTCCGACCCCACGATTTCTCGCCCGAGCTCGACCCATACCCCCCACCCCCCCACCCCCTGGCCGCCACCTCGCCCCCACCTGGCCCCGACACCCCCAGGCCTCTGGGCTCTGTTCTTGAGACCCCCGACCCCACGATTTCTCGCCCGAAATCGACCCACACCCCCCACCCCCCCACCCCCTGGCCGCCACCTCGCCCCCACCTGGCCCCGACACCCCCAGGCCTCTGGGCTCTGTTCTTGAAGACCCGACCCTAACATTTCTCGCCCGGAAAATCGACCCATACCCACCACACACCCCACCATCCCTGCTGGCCGCCACCCGCCCCCAACCTGGCATCGACAACCCTCCAGGCCCCTGGGCTCTGTCGTTGAGACCCCCCTACCTCGATTTCTCGCCCCCAAATTCGACCATCCCCCCACCCCACTCCCGCCCCCTGGCAGCCACCGCGCCCCTCCCTGGCATCGACACCCCATGCCTCTGCTCTGTTCTGATGACCGCCCGACCCCGCGATTTCCGCGACATCCTAATCCGAACCATACCCAACACCCACGCCCCACCCCCTGGCCGCCACCTCCTCGCCCCCACCTGCCCCGGTCGACGACCCCCAGGCCATCTGGGCTCTGTTCCTTGAGACCCCCGACACCCTTACGATTTCATCGCCCGCAAGTCGACCCATCGCGATCGACACAACCCTCCCAACACCCCCTGGCCGCTAACTCGCCCACCTGGCCCCGACACCCCAGGCCTCTGGGCTCTGTTCTTGAGATCCCCGACACCACGATTTCTCGCCCGACATCGACCCATACCCCCCACCTCCCCACCCCCTGGCCGCCACCTGGCCCCCACCTGGCCCCGACACCCCCAAGCCTCTGGGCTCTGTTCTTGAGACACCCGACCCCGCGAATTCTCGCCCGAAATCGACCCATACCCCCCGCCCCCCCACTCCCTGGCCGCCACCTCGCCCCCACTTGGCACCGACGCCCCCAGGCCTCTGGGCTCTGTTCTTGAGACACCGACCCCGCGATTTCGCGCCCGAAATCGAACCACACCCCCCACCCCCCCACCCCCTGGCCGCCACCTCGCCCAACCCACCTGGCCCCGACACCCCAGGCCTCTGGGCTCTGTTCTTGAGATCCCCGACACCACGATTTCTCGCCCGACATCGACCCATACCCCCCACCTCCCCACCCCCTGGCCGCCACCTGGCCCCCACCTGGCCCCGACACCCCCAAGCCTCTGGGCTCTGTTCTTGAGACACCCGACCCCGCGAATTCTCGCCCGAAATCGACCCATACCCCCCGCCCCCCCACTCCCTGGCCGCCACCTCGCCCCCACTTGGCACCGACGCCCCCAGGCCTCTGGGCTCTGTTCTTGAGACAC